ATTCCTGCAGGCAAAAGCCTAGATAATATTGTTTGTGCCTGGTAGAAAGTAAGGCAGATTTTGCTAATGTTTTTCTTCTGTGAGGCCCAAATTAACATATTTTTTTGAAAATGTGAAGGCATCCCTTAGCATCCAGATGATCTGTTCTGAAAACAAGAGTTTTATAAATGAAAAACCTGACTTTGGGTCACTAATTGTATCAACACAGCATCTGAGAGACTGAAATAAAGCAAGAGCTATGCAGTGTTTATGTAACTATCAGTACCCAGAGGGCATTTCCAGACCCCATACCCTGAGATTTGGAGAACACTTGAAGGCTTGGACTGTGCTTTGTATTCAAGACACTCTTCTCTGTGTGCTTTGTAAGCAAGAACTCTGATAAGCTTTTTCCAGTTTTGGAAATTCAGACTGCATGAGAGTGGGTTGTGTTTACATTACAGTCAAGCTGGAATGGATCCAATATGATTTAATTTAAATGTCTTTGTTTTGGGTATAACTTTGAGTTATTTTTCAAATAGAGTGATCTTTCTTTCTTTTTAAACGCATGAAATGTTTTTTTGCCCCCTTCTTGTTTAAATGTAGATAACTTTACAATTGACTTAAAGCTGGGAAACTTTCCAACAGAGTATAATTATTCTTTTCTTTTGTGCAATGTTTTTTATTAGTGCTATGAAGCTGGGCTAATGTCACAATACATAAAAACGTGGAAAAAAGGAGACACGGTCTTTTGGCGTGGACCGTTTGGAGGGTTCCCATATCAACCTAATAAGGTTAGTTCCCTAAGAGACATAGGATGTTTCAGTTTGTGGCAGCTAGCTTTGTTTAATACTCTAAAGGGAAGGTATCAATTTGATTACTGTTTTCATGATTTTTTTAGGGACTTCCTCAGTTACTGTACGGTGCTACAGCATTAGCAGTCAACTGGAGAAAGTACACCTTATTGAACTGCAGAATATTTAAGAAGGAAGAGGAGAGGGAGGCGGACAGGAGACTGGAAAATATTAGCAAGGCTCTCTGTTCATCACTTGCATTAGAAGTTACTGATGTGTTTAACAAAGAGAACTTATTTTGCACCAGCAATGAGTGTGGATCAGTTTTTGCCTTGTTTGAACCACATTGCTGTTTTGTGACTGAGCATGAGCGAAGGGGAGGTGTTGATCTTTTTCTCTCTTGGGTATTCCCTGAAATGTAGCAGCTCCAATGAGGTGTCACCCAGCCACTCTGCGAATGTTGATCCCACCTGCTGATACCAGGCTGGCTGCAAAGAAAGGCAGATCCAGTTTCAGGGGAAGGCTTCTCACACATACTAATTTGGTTACTTAATTCTGACCTTTCAAATGAGGAGCAGAATTGAAACACTGGTCATTCAGATCCCAAAGCCTTGTTTTTTCTTCCTTTTTTTTTTTTCCCCCCAACAAAAGTAAGGCTGTAAAATCCCTGTGGCCGAGCTCAATGCAGAGCAATTGTGTTCTGCTTCCTGAAATACTCTCCCTGCTGTTTTAGGCTACTGTTCCCTTCTCTTCTTCAAAGCTTCCACATAATCATTTGGGACAGAACATGGCAGTCATGCCTAGAAGTGGCTGCGTTCAGGGGCTGTCTGCGTGATCTGTGTACGTGCAGTTTGCAAAGCACCTGAGCAATCTTTAAAACAACTTGCTGTAGAAGAACTGTTTATTATTTGGGAATTATAACATAGGTCCCAAATATTAGTTTCATAGTAAAACTTCCTTTTATCTCTATTTGCTGCCAATAGAATAGGACTCAGATGCAGGCAGATCGGATCCATTCACAACAAACTCAGCAGTCAAAACAGAGCACAAGCAACCTCTGAGGGCTTAATAGGGGCTTAAGTCCCAGTTCTGGCATTGCTGCACTGGCTGGCAGTTGGGGAAAGTGCTGGGAACCTTCTGTCCTCCTATGCACAGCACCTTACTGCCGGAACATCCCTGTCACGAGTAGAGTGAATGTCCCGCCTTGCGGGTGGGAAGCACTATGTGCTGCCGGTAGCTCTTTGAGAAAAGTGAGATAATGCACCAGGAAGATACGTGGATCAGGACGGAGAAGAAACCATTTCCTCCAGAGAACATTCAGGATTGTACTTCGCAGCATCCAAGATAGAAGACAGGCATCATTTCCAGTGGGGAAAACAACACACAGTGGGTCAGCAAAGTGTACTGCAGAATTGAAACTGAAATATAAATTAACTGAAATCAAGGCTAAAGTTAGGATAAATGTTTATATTTGGGTAAAATAGAGTTTTGTTAGATTTGATATATAAACCCTCAAAGTGTTATCTGTAATCCTTTGCAGAAAAATACATTCTGAGATTTGAATTTACCAGTTCATGACCTTCTGATATGTTCTCTCTCGAGGCGCCCTTTAGCAGCGTGGCAGCAAGAAGGAACTGACCATGAGCACATCCATTTCCAGTCACCACAGCTCACTCAAAATTCTCTGGTTTGTTGTTAGCATGGAGAACTCCTCATGCTGGCGTCTGGTACCGGCCTGGCACCAATGCTTCCCATCCTGCAGTCCATAACAAATGATGAAGAGGATGAAACCTTTGTAACTCTTGTTGGCTGCTTCCGTACATTTGACAGAATTTATTTGAAACCTCTTCTCCAGGATCTGGCTCGATACTGGAACATCAGAATATTTTACGTCCTAAGCCAGGTAAATAAATGGATATGAAGCGTGTTTGTGTGAGGGTTCCGGGTGCTGGATGAGCCTCTGCCTCCTCTGTTTTTCCATCAGTGTGATCTTAATTCTTTCCCAGTCTTCGAGGGTATTTTGTGATCCAGTAGCTGCTGTTCTTAAATCTGCTACATATTCTCACACTGCTACCAGTCTGGAGAATTTCAGGGAAGCAGCTGTTTCTGCTTGTTCCTCTTTACTTCCTTGGTAGCTGTTCTGTTGGGATGGACCCACTGATTCGTAGTCACTGTTGATTATTCCCCCCCACTTTAGACGGTTGTTGTTGTTGCATCTAAACATTTGTGCAAGGAAAACTTGACTCTGGGAGACTCACAGCAAATAAACTATTCCTTCTTTCCTAATACCAGTGCCTTAATCTGTCCTTATCTTCCATTCATTGCTCATGGCTAGAGCTCTCTTCTTCTGGTGTGTTAGTGCCAACTTCCCAGCAATTATTTTTCCCAGCTGACCTGTTTTTAAACTTCTTAAAGTTGTTTCCCCCTCTGTAAAATTACTTCTTCTGCCAAATCCATGGGATGAAGGCATACCTCTCAGTGGTCTTACATTTTGAGCCGACTTTTTCTCTTCCATTTGGTCCCAAAGTTGCCTGTGTTTTGCACAGATTTGGTAGTTGAAAATTATTTCCTTCAGAAATGAGGATTCATTGCAGGGAGGATATAGAAAGAATTATTTATGCTAAGGGAATGAATCCCATTGCATTTTTAGTTTCTCAGATGAATCATTTTTTGTATCTCATGGTGGATCTGCCTCATACATTATGTTCCACATATGGCCTCGGCAAGTTGAGATTGGGTAGAGAGAAAAGTACTTGTGATTTAGGCACCCCCTCAGCTACTTTATAGGAGCATAACTGGTAATTGTCTCTGGTGACATAGCTTAAATACCCTTTTCAGAACAATGCTGTCTCAAGAGCGTGAGGGGGTCTTGAAATTCAATCAGTGAAGGGCAAGAAACCCACCTGACCCCTGTCAACACTGTCTGCCCTGCGTGTACAGCGCTCCCTTTCTTCTCTTCTCTTAGCAGGTTTGTTGTAGTCCAGCACTGACTCGTGCATCTTCCCGTTTAGGATTATGTATCTGTCTGTCTCAGTATTTCACTCTGCTGCCTGTCACCACCACATCTGAGCACCTTCTGCTTCTAATAAATAGCTGGATCTAATGCCATGGGATCTAACATTTCTCATGGGATCACAGCTGTGTTTGGAGCAGGGCTGGCTTTCAGTTTTGGTTGAGGGAGATGGGACTGAAAGAGACTTGGGAATGGAAGAGGCAATAGAGAGGAATGGACTTGGGATTTAGGACTTGGGAATAGAAAAGGCACAGTGGGAAGTGCTTCTGAAAGGAAAAGGTTCTGCAGTGTTTCTTGGCAATACTTACACTCTAGTTTTGTTCAGTCCGCTCTGAGTGAGTGGCTAAGTCTCGTGACAGGGAAAGATTTGATCTGGGCTTTGGAAGAGGAACGAAGCTCTCGGGATGGGTCAGTTCTACCCAGATGGAGTGACAGCGGTGACAAACGTCCTGTGCAGTACTCTGAGGGGAAGAGGGAGATTTGGCTATAAGCAATCAATTGTCCTTTTTAACATGGCACACTGCAAACCTTTTATCTTTTCAGGAAACGTCACTGGAAAAACTTCCTTGGAGCTATCAGGAAAACACATACACTGGTCGTCTCAATGAAGACTTGGTGAAGACGATAATAAATTCCTGTCGAAGAAAGCCATTTGTATTAATCTGTGGCTCTTCTGCATTCAATGAAGATATGAGTAGATATTTGAAAGCTGCAGGAATCGAAGAAAATTCCTGTTTTGTCTTTTAGCAGGATATTTCTGACCTAAGGAATCTTAGGCTGAGCCTTGGACGTCCTTGTTTCTCTGCAGACATTGCTCGAACTCGGTCATCTCCATAGACCGAGTTCCTTATGCATATACTTTCATAGACCTTTGGGTCAAATATTTGTTTCCAGTATGATTCTCATTCTTGAGAGTGTTTTAAGGATCAGGTGCCACGCCAGAGTGGCTGCGACGATCACCCACACCTCAGGGAACAGCATGGTAATGTTAATGGAAGTCTTAACAGGCAATTTTAAGAGAGATCTCTCCTAAGGGTACTAAAAAGCATCCAAGTACATAGCACTGCTGTAATATGAAGACCAGTGACTTGCTTGGCAATCCGTGTTAGTCTGCCGTGGTATTGTGCCCTGTTAGATGTCCAGAGGAGAGATTTAATCCTCGAGGAGAAGACGGCACGGCCAAGGGAACAGCAGAGCACTGGCCCGGCACTGGAGTCCATGGGGTTCATTTCGGTTGTGTCATTATCTTGCTGGGTGATGCCAGGCAAGTCACTTCAACTTCTCTCTGCCTCAGTTGCCCCGTTAGACACTAACACAGAGAAGAAGGTACTGACCTCCTCTGAAAAGAGCCTTTCCAACCACCAGAAAAGGGTGGGGGATGGAATTATACGTCATGCCCACTGAAGACTTAGGCAGGCTGTCCTCCTGCCCTAGCACAGCCTGCATTGCCTACCTTGATCCTTAACCCTTGTAATGCTGCCTGGGGACAGAAAAAGCATGTCCTAAAACTCCATGTGAGAAGGCATCCGGGTTGTAGCTGCTCTCTGTCAGAGAGAATGGTTGTTTGCCTTCCATGTCCCCTAAGTGTTGTATAATTGCCCTGGTTCATTAAATTGAACCTCTTTTCAAATAAACAGCTGTTTCTTTTTGTCACAGGACTCTCACGGGTGCCCAAGCGTACAAGAACACCACCTGAGGAGTGAAAGCGTCGCGGGGGCTTTGCTGGGGCGCTCCCCCACGGGGCAGGGGGCAGAGCCAAGGGCCTGCTCTGCGGGATGGCAGCCCCGTGGCTGCCCTGGCCCAGCACCCAACCGGGTGCCCTGGCCCCTTCCTCCTCTTTTAGTCCAAGATGCTGCTGCCTTTCCTCTGAGATAGCTGCTGTCCACTCTTTTACCTTCTTATATCACTGTGTTTACTAACTACACCTGGAAATACTCACCTTTGTGTTTTTCCGTTCATTCCCAGTTTATCCTGTGCTGGGGTTTCCCGGGGTTTCCCAGGCTGTGATAGATGATGTTGCATTATCATTCCTGTCTCATTTGTTACCTGTATCAAATAGTACGCCTTACACAAAGGAGATGTAGTTTCAGAGTTACTCAAAACAAGCAGTGTGCACTGAAATGATGGCTCTGATGCGCATGTTGAGAGGAAGCGTAGGTTCCCCTCGCATCAGTGAGATTTGTCTCCAGTTACCAAATGCCTGGAATTAATCCAGTGTAGCTGCAGCTTTTATGTTAACTTTATTGGAGCAAGGGCTGACAAGAAAGCCATCTTTATAACCCAAAAAGGGTTCTGGCTTTTAATGTAGAGAGATCCGGGGAAGTTGTCCATGGTAGGTCCAAGGCAAGCTCTCAATTCCCATCCAAGCCGTGCTTCAGCCGCCGTAAGCTGCTGTATAGTGGAGGTGCTTCTGCCCAGCGTGGGGCTGACACAATAAGGAGTTGCTTTCTCCAGTTGTTCTCCCTGCTTTGGCGTTAGCTAGGAATACAGAGAAAATATTTTCTTCGGGTATTACATACTCTGAAAACCTTACTTATATACCTTTTGCTTTAAATATTATGCCTCTTTGAGATTTTGCTAAAAATCCACCCAGCTTTTTTGCAAAGGCCTGAGGTAAAACTTCACGCTCGCTTTGGAAAAGCGATGACTTTCTGCGTGAAAGCTGGAACTGTTCCTTTAAACGCAACCCCAATATGTCTGGGTATTTCAGCACATATGGGCCATGATGGTTAAACCCTACCCAGCTGGCCCGGCCGTTCTGCTGCGAAGCCTCTGTCTTTGTTCGTGGCTAAAAGGGAGGGTGGTGAGAGACGGAGCAAGCTGTGAATGCTGCGGGTTGCAATCCTGCAAAGGCAGGCTGCAGGCAGAGCGGGAGGAGGTGATGCATGCGGAGCCGGCAGCCCGGCTTGCCGCGCCGGTGGGGACGGGGGGGGTCTTTGCGAGACGTTCTCTGTGGGGGAGACGATGTCCTTGGACGTATGAACTTGAAGGGGCCTTTAAACTGCCTGTGGGCACTTTGTTCTCTATTTTCTGCTCTTCTCTCCCTTCCCCCTCCCGCCTTTTGTCATTTCTCAGGCTGGCTCTCACACGAGTCCCCTCTTCCCAGCCTGTCCCCCATGGGGACAGCCCCTTGCATGGCGCTTCTGCAAAGGCAGGGACCTGGGATGGAAAGGCTCTCGGGCAGGATTTTCCCTGCTGAGGGAAGATGAGAGGTTTCCTTCCCTTTGGAGGCCCGGGAACTACCCCGCGGTGGCAGTTTTATAGGGAAATGGTGGCGATGCTGTCGATTATCGGGGGATCTGTGGCGCTGGAGATGCATAAGCTCCCTGCAGGGGTGGGTGGCCGCTGCCAGGCCTGGGCAGGGGCTCGCACCCGGCCTCTTCTGCCAGGGCAGGGGTGCTGGCAGGATGATCCCGTGCTCTGGCGGCCCCCCGGGAAGCCCCGGCCGCCCGTGCAGCGCTGTGCTGGGGAGAGGGTCTTCACTTCGCTTCCTTTCTCGTGTGCAGCCTAAATACCTTCTTAATTTCATCTCATTATTTCCTGCCTAAATAATTCCCGTTTCTCCTGGGGGCTGTATTTAAACCTTTGATCTTCTCTGAAGTCTCACAGTCCTGATCACATCCTTTCTAGTTAAATGAATCAAATGCGTTTTTGACTCATGATTTATAAATTTGCCCACAGAGGAATAGAGGCAGCCCCGATACGGGACGCTTTTGAAATCACCCACTGTGTCTCTGGCCGGAGCCAGAGCACCCTGGGCTGACCCAGAGCACCTCCAGCCAGACCTCCATATGGAAGGACCTGCTGGCTCCTCTGCCACAACTCGTCCTCCCCCTGCCTCCCTCTGCCCTCCCGCCCGGCTCTGCCGGCTGACAAGGGGTGTTGCCTGGGCTCAGGCCCAGCCGGGGTATGGTGGTCCACAGGTCAGGAGAGGGTGAATGTGTCGGTGATTGATGGATGTCGTCTCCTGGGAGGGGGGCACAGCTGCTGCGCTGCACAGTCCCCCCGGCCCCCCGTCTCCTGGGGGTATCGCTGATGCACGGCATGAAGCGGGACCGCAGAGCGCAGCTGGAGGGATGGAGAAGAGCGGCCGCGTAGGTACTGGTGTCCCAGACACTGGCTCCCTGCTGGGAGGTGCCTCGGCACTGAGGCCGGCGGTGGAAGGGCTGGAGGACGGTGGGTGTTGCCAGAGATGGATGCAATGAGGATGAATGTGTTGCTCCGTCATGTAGTGATGGAGAAGTCAGGGAGCACGTTGTCCCTGAGGCCGGGGGATCGTGGCAGGGCGGGCTGAGCACTCCTCCTGGCTGAGCCGGGGCTGTGGTATGGGAATACCCAGGAGGGGCCCCTGCACCACGGGCTGTGGTGCCAGACCTCCCCTGCCTCTTTGCTGGGGGTGCTGGCCCCGTGTGTGTTGTACAAGGCACAGGGACAGACCTCCTCTCCTCTTCCCATTAGGGAAGCAGCTACTTAAGCTCTGCAGTGTCCCTGAGAGGTCGGCAGGAGATATGCCAGCGTCGCAGCCATCTCCCAGAGCCTGCACCAGAGCGGGAGCTTTGCACCGCACCCCGGGACAGGGAGGGCTGCCTTGCGTCTCCTTGTTTGAACGTGTGCTTACTCCTGGTGCTCGTGGGGTGGCGTGGTGCCCAACGCCCCAGGACAGACACCCCGATGTCCCCTGCCTCAGCTGGGCTCAGGATAGAGGGCTCCTGACTGGAATGCCCCAATGCTCTCGCCAGCCCTTGGCATGGCTCCAGCAAGGCCAGGCAGTGGGGAGAGAGCCTGTACCGATATTGTTGTTGTTGTTATTAGCCATAAATATATGCAGGCACTTAACGACCTTGGCATGGAGCATTTCCTGGGGATTAATGACCAGTTGGCATTAACGGTCCTTAGCTGCACCTTGGGCCATCAGCTCCTCCCAGCCCATCATTAATCCATAGGAAATGTCTCAGGCATCGATCCTCATTGCTTAATTAATAAATGCAACTTGTCTCCCCGCCTGAGATTTACAGATACGCGCTGCTTCTTTCCCCACTGCTCTGAAGGTGACTTTTTTAGCACAGGTCCCTTGCGCTGGGGGACCCTCGTGGGTTTTTGTTTCCTGGCATTCATCTGGGTGTGGGTCACGGCAGCAGGAAAGTCTTTTCTCTCCTGGGTGAGAGGGAAGGAACTGAAACGCTGCTGGGGTTTCTCCAGCTAATGTGGCACAGCACGAGGAGCACATCTTTCCCCCCGAATGCCAAGGCTTGATTACCTTCAGCATCCAAGAGCCTGGGCGAGAAGGAGCGTGAGCCGGCATGGAAGAACATGGTAATTCTCCAAGGCCTTAGCAGGTTCTATAATAATCGATGTTTTTTGCCCGTGAGTCACAATTCATCTCTAATCTTCCTCGGGGGAGGCGGGATTTGCTGTCTTTAGTGCTGGCGACTGCCACTTTCCCGGGCTGAGCATCCCGCTGAGCCTGGGCACTCGCTGCAGGGATGCTGACCTGGCAGCCGACATGGAGACGCGGCTGCCTTTAAATCCCATTCCCTGTTTCTCTAGCCTTTACCACCAGTTGGCTTTGTGCAGTGGGTGCCGCAGTATAAATCATGTTAATTCCTGAGGTGCTTTTCCGCGGTAAGTCTGAAATTCCCATTTTGGTTCGCTGGCTTGCCTGGCGAACTAAATTATTTTCATAGCCCCTTAAGGGCATATTGTCAGCCCAGACTTACTGCCGTTATACACCATATCTGAAACATTAATATCTCTTCTAAATATAGTGTATTGACAAGGTATCTGGTATAGTGTAAATCCTTGGGACATTTGATCCAGATCATTAAAACTGAGTGAAGGAAGGGAGGAATAGATCAAGTTACCTTGCTGCTCTTCAAACAAGCGATGAATTATTCATTCCGCTTTTAATTCTACAGTCCTTCCGCTTTTTATTTATTTGTCTCTTTATTTATTTTTTTCCTCCCAGATAGACATCTTCGAAAGGATGCTCGGGCACCGGTGACTGGAGATTTGCCTGCCGGAGGATGGGGTGCCTGGGGGCGGGCTGCCTGGCAGCGCTGGCCGTGCTGTGCGGGGCTCTCGGGGATGCTCCCAGCAGAGGTAAGAGCCCGGTCCCAGCTCCCAGTGGGGACCCTGGGGCTGATGGGCATCCGTGGTCCCCGGGGAGGAGAGGGCTGTTTGCGGGTGCTGCAGGGGCGCTGGGGTGCGAGCGGGTCCCAGCTCTCAGCGGCTCCCCTCCCCCACCGGCGCCCGCGCGCGTC